CTCCATCTCGGCCTCCTCACTCGGCCAAGTGCGCAAAATCTACATGTCAAAGATGACCGAGCAGGGTTGTTCCCGCACCCTGAAGGACAAGTGCAGAGACATATGGGATCAAGTGATCGATGACGCTGTCGAGGCAGATGCCGAATGTTCAGGGATGGGGTTTGCATATGGGTATGGAAAGGAACTGGAGCCAGTCTACATTCCGGACAAACGAAACGGAATCCAGAAGAAGGAAAACGGAAAGAAGGAACACCACGAGGGAAGTACCGAGTCCGAGACAGAAAGTGAGGAGGAGAGCAATTCCGAGACGGAGGTGGAAATTGATCCGAGTCTGGATGGGAGTGAGTGCGAGTGTAGATCTGGGTGTGCGTGCGCGTGCGCTTGTTGTCGGGTGGAGTATCCCGAGAGTTTGGTGGAGAGTGGTGGGGAGAGTGAGGCGGAGAGTTTACTTTCTTGTGGGTTGGATGGAGGGGAGGGGGATGATGAGTAGGATGTGGGTAGGTAGTGTTGCAGTGGTCTTTGTTGGGTTTGGAGGTTGGTGGGAAGTTCCGGGTTTGGGGGTTGGTGGTTTAAGGTGATATTGGTAAATGGGGGGGATTGGAATGTTCCAGGGATAGGGGTATTTATGGATTTAAGATGATATTAGGTGAATGTCTTTGAGGAACATAAATATGATTGTTATTTCCTTTTAATTCTTCTGTTGTAGAGTGCATATTGTGTAACTTGGTCACTTACTCACCACTCATCACTCACCACGTATCGTGTCCAATACTCATCCCCCAGCATTAGCAGCAACCTCACCACCATGTCTTCCCCATCAAGATCATTCAACCCCGAGGATCTGAACTGCCTTGATAGAGACTTGAAGAGAATAAGGACAAGTCTGTCTCAAGACGTTGACTGGTTCTTATCTTCCCAGACTAATTTATTGTTGGATCACATGGACGATATTTCCAATGTTCTGGAACTGCTGGTAACCAATCTCAAGGGACTGCGTGATCGACTGGCCCGAGGACTGGAACAAGTTAATGCTACGTTGGAGACTCTCGATGTTGAGGAGAAAGAGGCGTCACAGGGAGAGGCTACCATGGAGGCTCTCAGAGTTGAGGAGGAAGAGGCGTCACAGGGAGAGAAGAAGGTAGTGAAGAAGGAAAGTGGGCAGAATCACCATCAGCATCATGCAGCGAAGAGTCCGGTTACGAAGAGTCCGAAACATGGTTTGTCACCTCCAGCAAAGGTTAAGGTGCAGGAAAGTGATGGGGATGCGGACTGCTCCGAGGTGGAGGTTGAAAAGGAAGATTTTAACACTCTGTTCGGCTAGGATATAGATTCAGTGTAGATCCGATGGATAGACTGTCTGTATCTGGGATGGGAAGTGGGTGTGTGGTGGTTGCATTTACCATATTGATACTACTATATGAAGCTTGCTGCTGAACTGATATGCACATTCCTGTGTTCTGGGATTATAGTGTCATACTATATAAACTGTGGACTTTTTAGCTGTTCCCGATGTAATGATTAATCTGAATGTGGGTCTCCTATGCTCTACATCTTATTTTCATCACGTATCAGTACATATCAGTACATCTACGTAGATAAGGCTACTCGCAATATCGAATCATGCGCTTTGTAGTTTGACGTATACCCTGATCAGCAACTACATCATATCCAGTGCTGCTTTAGCTTATCGGTTCCTTCAACACACACCTTCCATGGCCTATATGTTACATCCTCCCACTGAAGAATCTCCGATCTATCAGTATCTTCTGCACATTGGTACGTTACATGAAGAGGGGAAGGTGACACTACTAGTATGCTCTAGTACATGATCTGCATCCAACTGTCGGGGCAATCCGATGATAAGCCGACCCCTCATAGGTTATCAGAGTGAAGCGCATATCAACTCCGTGCGGGGTTCCGAACTTAGCCCTCAACTTGGCAATCATAACCAATCAAGGATCTCTTCTAGGTACCGTTTCCAGGTCGCATGAAACGGTCAATATAACCCTGCTAGCCGAGCTGCAACCTTGCTATCGTGCTGCAGGACTTCTCTAGTGTTTGCAGGTTACATGCGGGACTGCCAGGGTTACTATTAATTCGTACGCACGCCCATTCTAAGTCTCCAAGAATAATTCAGGCATCACCATGCGGTGGAGGGCACTTGGTACCGTCGGTCTTATTCTCGACTTCACCATCTGCGGTATGCACCTTGACATATTAGAGCTCATGTAGTCTCTTACAATTACAGGGTTCGCCCGTCTGGTGACGGTCCCCACTATTCCCTTTGCTGATAATAATGGCACCTATGCACTGTCACAACTCACCAAGATTGTCGTGGATGCTCGCCATGCCAGTACTGTGGATACTCAAGGCCAAACATTGATTCCACCGACATTGAAAGAATTCGCTGCGACCTTTCAAGAGGACCTTCGTTCTTCTCTTGGGATCGACCTCCCACTTATCACCAGTAGTACCTCTAGCGACCATGCAATTTTCCTGACCCTCTCCAATAGCACGGACTTCCGCGATGTTGCGGGACGCTTCATAGCGGAGGCATATGCCTTGCTCATCGACAATCATGGAATTACCATCTCTGGGGCAAGCCCCTTAGGCGTTTGGTGGGGAACACGCTCGCTAATCCAGGCTGCTGTGGTTAGTAAACACAACCTCCCTCAAGGCTCTGCAATCGATGCTCCAGGATGGGGAACGCGAGGCGTCATGGTAAGCCCTCACAACACCTGTACACAACCATAAGTCTAACCAATAAGCTTGATGCTGGACGTCACTACTACCCACCCGACTTCTTGATCGAAATGTGCTCGTATCTGTCCTTCTTTAAGCAGAACGTGTTTCACCTCCACCTCAGCGACAATCTATACAACAACGTCGACCTCTACTCCACCCAGGAATCTTTGGATCTCTATGCAGCATTCCGGCCCTGGTCCGACGACCCCGCTTTATCCGGACTCAACAAACGAGCCAACGAGTCCTACACACGCAGCCAATTCGACCATATCCAACGCCAATGCGTCCGCCGTGGTGTCACCATCATCCCTGAAATCGAAGCGCCCGGCCACGCCCTCGCCATCGTGCAATGGCGACCAGAACTCGGCCTGACAGACCTCAGCATGCTCAACATCAGCCATCCAGACACCATCCCGACCATGAAAACAATCTGGAAGATCTTCCTTCCTTGGTTCCACAGCAAAACCGTCCACCTCGGCGCGGACGAATACTCCTCTTCCTACGTCTCCGACTATACCAACTTCGTCAACGACATGCACACCTACATTGCCGAGCAATCCGACAAAAACACCCGCATCTGGGGCACTTTCACCCCATCGCAGGGTGCCAACGTCTCCAAAGCCGTCACCATCCAGCACTGGGAATTCTACGAAGACAACCCGTACTTCGACTACATCAAGAACAACTACTCGGTCCTCAACTCCGACGACGCCTTCTACATAGTCGGGAAATGGTCCGGAAGCTATCCCCAGTACCTCAACAAGACGCGTGTCTTCCACGGCGATCCATCAAACAACGGCCCCTACGCGCCCAACATCTTCTCTACCACTAACGCAACCGATAACCCTCCAAGAGATAACCCCTACGTACTCGGCCACATCGCCGCCCTCTGGAACGACTACGGGCCCAACGCAACGACCTATCTCGAGGCGTATTACTCCTGGCGTGACGTTCTCCCCGCACTAGCAGACAAGCAATGGGGCGGTGATATTTTGGAAGATGAATACGATGATGTGTTCGACACACTCCACGCTGTGATCCCAGGCCAGAACCTCGACCGCCACGTTCCAAGCAAGACGGATCTGATTCTGCATTACAACTTCGCCAATACCACTGGGACAACTGTCCCGGATTTATCTGGGAACAACTACCACGCCACATTCAATCACAGCTGTCCCATCAATACATCTAACTCAACCATAAGATTCACGGAATCATGCACCCTCACCACCCCTATCCAAAGCAAAGGAAGAGACTATACCCTCTCTTTCTCGGTATATCCTTCCACAACTCACCCATCACCTCTATTTTCAGGGAGAGACTCTACCCTCCTCAACGGCAACGGGTCCATAAGTAATATCACCCTCGTGAGCGGCGGGAATCCGTACACACTGAACTACAGTCTCCCGGTCGGAAAATGGTCGGATGTGAGCTTGATAGGAAAGGGAAACAAAACATTTTTATCCGTTGATGGGGGTGAGAAGATGGAATTTCTAGCGAGACTAGGAGTAAATGGGGAGTACTCGGTGTGGGCGCCCATTGCGATCGAGGCACCGGTGCAGAGGATCGGGGAGGGATTTGTAGGGATGATGGGGGAGGTTAAGTTGTGGGGGAGTGCGAGGTGAAGATGCTACTTAGTGCTACTGGTTATACCGATCACCTTTGGTTAGTAGTCAATGCTACAGTAGTATTAGTATGTTCTTCGATGAATATATGAGCGCATCACAGAGAATTTTGGTGACTAAGTCAAAGTTTAGCAGAAATATATATTACTACAGTATGGAAAACGACTACAACCGAACTAGACCTAGAAACCAACCACAAAAACCTCACCCAATTCGACCTTCACAAAATTCGCCACTTCAACCCCCCTAATAAACAAAACCAAAATTTCCAAACCGCCCATTCATGGTCCAAGTCACCCACGAGTCCCTGAAAATTACTATCACTGGATACTGGGTAGAATAGAGGTGGGTAATGGTTCCCCTCCCTCCCGTCTGCCGGACCCGCCCAGATTAAAGTTTTTCTCATTGCAATCTACTCCGTACTAGTTTTAAGCGAAGGGATCCAGAAGCAGGATTTTGTTCTGGTGAAACTTTATTCTTCTCTATTTGTGTTCATATCACTAATTGAAATATGTCGCATTGAGTCACAAAAAGCAAAATCCAATGTGCCAGTCGACCTACTTTTGATGGGTGGGTAGCATAGATAGTTTGAGAGGAGAGGGGGGAGCGGGAGAAAATAAAAACAAAAAATGGAGCTGAAGGGGATCGAACCCTTGACCTCTCGCATGCAAAGCGAGCGCTCTACCACTGAGCTACAACCCCAGTTGAGATACTTTCCTGATTGATCTAATGGATCAGGAGATACTCATTGACTTTCTTCTTTCTTCTTTCATTCACTTGTATCATGAACAAAAGTAAACAAAGTGATGTTCACAATAATCAATAAATGTATGTATGTATATTCGCCCCATCTATCTATCTATATATCATAGCAGTCATAACATGTCATATCATCTAGCAAGAAGGAAAGATGAAGATCCAATCCCCAAAAACCAATGATAATGTATAGCCCACTTTTCCGTCCCGCTGTTTCCCATCTATAACCCGTTGTATCCCATCCCATCTAGGGAGAAAAAGAAAAGAAAGAAACAAGCAAATCAAGAAATACCCTCTCACCAACACCAAACACAACATATCTCAAAATCAAAATCAGTAAGGAATCATCAAAAAGCAAAACAGATAATGGAGTCAGAGGATAGACGGGGAAGTCCAAAGAAACGAAGAGAAAGAAGAAGAAAAAGTCTATTTATATCGCGCAAACGGTATCATCCCTATCACCCGGCCCAATTCCCCTCCTGCTCACTGTAAAGAATGCAATAATCAGGCCTAGACCCGCTAGACCGGCAGAGCACCACAATCCCGTGCGGTATTGATGCGCCAGATCATGTCCCTTTTTGATGTCTACTTCTTCAGCGACGGCCGCGGAGATGGCGAGGGCGACGCCGGAGCCGATTTGGAAGGCAGTGTTGAGCTATTTAGTTCATTAGTTTGGGGTTTCCAATGTGATTTAAGAAAGTGAATAGGGGATGGAGCTTACCATTCCACCACATAGACTCTTCACATGCACAGGGACAGTAGTGAGAATGGCAGTGCTGGTGGTGACGAAGATGAGGGAGACGGCAGTGATGCTTATCAAGGAGGTGGGGAGGACATTGACCCAGCTGGATGTAAATCATTAGTATGCATTCATTCATTCAGGGGATAGAGTGGGTCACGTACAAACTGGTTTCCGGGCTGGATGTGATAGCGCTCGGGACTGGGGCGAGAACAGTGAGGATCAACCCCGCCAGCAGGGTGTATTTCCCATTAACGTATTCGAGAGCCTTGCCGGTGCCCATGGAGGCGATGAACCCGATCACTCCCATGGGAAGGAAGCGGAGTGCGGTGTCCCCAGCGGACAGCTTGTCTACTTCTTGCGCCATTAGGACGATGTAGTAGATGACGTTTTGGTAGCTGCCGTAGCAGGCTGGAGGGGTAGGTTAGTCTCTGTATGTAGGAAAATTAGGGGAGGGGAGACTTACTGAATCCTGCGATCCATAGACCAGCAAAGTTAGGGAGCTTCCACAAGCCCAGAGGCATCAGTGGGTAAGAAATGAACTTCTCCCAGAGAGTAAAAGCCACCAGCAGGGCAACGGCCAGCACCAGCAGGACAATGATGAAGGGTGTGCCCCAGCCATAGGAGCCACCACTGGACAGCACGAATTGGAGAAGAATCAGACCCGCAGTGGAGAGCATGGCGCCGACATAGTCCATCTTGGGCTTTTCCTTGCCAGCAAGGTTGTCCTTGGGAAGGACAATAGCACCCAGGATGCCTAGCGAACCAGTGATGATGACAATGAAGTAGAAGATGTATCGCCATCCCAGAGAGGAAGTAAGGAAGCCACCAAAAATAAGACCCACGCAGAACCCCACAGTTCCAGAGGAAGCGTAGATGGACAGTGCGCGGGTCCGATCAAGCCCACTGAAGTAGGAGCTGATGATTCCGATCGCTGAAGGCACAGTGAGCGCAGCTCCCATGCCCTGCAGACCTCGGAAGACTGTGAGTTGGATGAATGATTGGCCGAAGCCAATGGCCAGGGTCCAGAGGGAGAGCCAGCTTAGACCCAGACAGAGGATCAACTTGCGACCATACCTGGATGAGGAAGTCTCTAGTTAGCTTGGTGAAGGATATTGTCTCAAGGGGATATGGTACATACCGGTCGGAAAGAACACCCGGAAGGAGCAAGAACCCACCAAACGTAAGGGTGTATGCGGAGATCATCCATTGGAGATTGGTGTCCGACACGTCAAAGTTCTCTTGAATAGATGACAAAGCGACATTGGCACTGGTCATGAAGACATTGTCGAGGAATTGGGAGCCGGAGGTGACGAGCAGAATGAGGGCGCCTTTCCACGAGGCCAGACGACCAATTTCGGGACATGGGCCCAGCTTCGTGAGCTCCTTCTCTTCGATTGGGGTGGCAATACCCGATGAAGGCGTGCTACTGTCATCACCTAACGTTGAGCCCGGACGAGAAAAGATAGTGAATTGGGGAAATTTGGAGGGAGTATCGCCGTCAAACTGCTGCGGCTGCTGCTGCTCCTGCGCGCGACGGCCTCGCAAAAGATCGAGGATAGCCATTTTGATAGAGATTCTGAATTGAGGAACGACGAGACAGGGACAGCCGGGTCATTTTTTAAATAGTAGATTAGCGGGGCGCAAGGAAAAAAAGTCTGTAAAGAATCTGAGGAAAAAGTGGGTTCTCTCAGCTGGGGGAAGGCAGTGATGGTGTGGCATCGATAGACTTTCTCTCCGTCCACACTTCTTTTTCGGTCGCGCTCCGTGCCCTAATTTCTGGTGTTGCAGCATTTCTTCATCGATTGCGCGTCCAGCATAGTTCAGTTGACCCTGCCATTGCGTTTATCGCATTATCGCTAGTTTATTAATAGTCTACTGGCTTATCTGTCTCCTCCAGTCTCACCCTGCAGTGCAAAGTGCGACCACATTGTCTCTGGTGGATCAGGTCTGTGATTTCTCATTCGCCTCCCTGCTGAATAACACTACCACCCCCATCCTTCTCCTCTTCCCTTTTCCAGACGGGAATTACGACTCCAGCAGAGTCGAGTAACCGTTCACATGCTCGCCACAGAGTGGATCGTTACAACGATGCTATCGATAGTGGATTTACGGGGTGGATATCCAATGCTTTCTGCTCCACGATCGCCGCTTGACATGTGGTCTGTGAAGGGACCATGAATGGATAGTATTGCTTGGAAAGCTTGTGTGACCAGCTGTTCGTCGATCGGCGAAATCGATTAAGCCTAGAAAGGAAAAAAAATACAACAGCTCTAAAAATTTGGAATGGATTATGATTCAACCAGTCAGCGAAACCTGATTGCGTGCTCTTTTGGTTTGAGAGTGTCTGGAATCCCTACTGTAGGACCCCTATCTCTATCTAGCCACTGATCACCGTCGGGATAAACCCGTGTGCGGCGGGAAGCTAATCCGGTCCCTTTTTTTCCACTGCTCGCTTGCTTGCTTGCTTGCTTGCTTTTTCTTTATCTTCTTAGCCTTCCATCCCGAGACCCAAGCCGTCGCTCCCGTTGGGTCGATCGACAAATAGTGAGAAGCTTCAATGCCGAAACTATCGGGCCGAGACAACAAATCCACCGGGCCCTGAATGATTACCCTAACCGCCCTGACCGCATCCGGTAAAATCAGGACCCTTGTGCGCGACCGCTTTTTGATGTCCGCCATGTTAATCTCCGCACATTGCGTACTCAGGGGTAGGTAAGTATGCAGAGGATTCGTCATGATCACCATGATCACCCATTGATTCCCGCAAGGGTGGCTTTTTTGTCAGTACTTTGGAGGGGTTGAGAGGGGGGAGAGATCAGAATGAGAGGTGGCAGATCCCCATAGTATGCAGTTCAAGCAACAACCGTTTTAGCCAAGAGGGAGCGACATGTCCGTAAAATCCACAACTGTATACTATATTAATGAAGCATTACAACCAACACTCCCCTACGGATTATCGCAGTCCCCACTACTTGATTACTGATACTGTAATGCTATGGGGCTATTGATATTGAAGTATATAATCCATGCAGCTCGACAGCGTGGTTGTAAATCTCGCATTGACTGGCCCACGTTGAATGGATGGCGGGTCAGAGAGAATAAAAAGAAAGAACTAAAAAAAAATCTGTCAGCGTAGTATATCAATAGTAGCGGTGATAGTGAAGCTAGAGATTTCCCTCACCAACCAACCAAAGTACTGCAATGAAAATCAGCTAGCGTGTCAAATTCCATCCATATCGTTCTGTTATCGCCAGGAATCCATCCTCGGCAAACTTGCCCACGAAACAATTGGCCAAGAAAACGGTACCTAGATAACCCTGTTTTGACCAACAATCCCCATGTCTCAGATTCCCCTTGAATGAGATGACGACAGACAACCCGGATTCCAATGCCAGGGGCGCCTCCAACTTCCCAGGTCGACTTGCCAATAATTCAATGTGGTGTATCACAAGCCCCACCAAACCGCGACTGAAAGGGCTGGTTCTCCAGGCTGACAGTTTTTATACTATAGCAAGTGAAGCGAAATTGGATGGTAGTGACGTACTCTACTGTGAGGTCATGCTTCAAAGTGATGCTTATGCTAGATCTGGTTATAAGTGTGATGGCTGAAACGCTAATTTCAATCGTCACCCACCCCCCCTCCTCCCTTGGGCTGACAGTCTGATTGATGATCAATGTCTTTTATGTCCATTCATTGCATGCATGTTTGGTGATCATTCTTCATCATGGAGTATGCGTTTAGGCAGAACTGTCAGGCCCCGGATGTTTGGCGGGAAGCTACGCCTTCTGCTTTTACTGTCTGGGGGTGATATTGTCCGATATACCTGAGTGTCCCTGATACTTTTGTCTTTGACGTAGGTGACTGTTTTCTCACAAGGATTCTATGGCAGAAAGGGCCGCTTCTAGCGCGCTATTAACTCAAGCATGCCCAAGCGACCGTACAAGGACCCGCAATTTACAGTAAGGTAAGTTCTCCATAGACCAGGTCTGGTCAGTCCATAGCTGTTATCCAAGACACTAAGGTAAACATAGGGATTAACAACTGGCAGTCGACTATCGAGAACCCACTGCTCAATTGTTTGCCTCTGGCACCATCTCCACCACGCTCTCGTCAAGGCACCAGACCCTAACGGGGCAGCGGACCGGACACGGGCGGAAGGCATCTGAACGGCAGCGGCGATGTGGATATCTCCAGCTAGTAGGA